GACCTGGCAGGAGCCTTGCAGAAAGAGAAGTCAGTGGCGTTGAAAACCAACCCATAAAACTGCCCTTATTCTGCACACTTGGGCCAAGATGAATTTATGATCCCTCCTGCTCACGGGGCTAGAATAAGCAAGAGAGCCCAGGGTGGAGGCTCTCTGTGATGAATTTCTCCTTTCCACTGCCACTCGTTCCCTGATTTACAGTGGAGTGGGGAACCTCGAGATAAAAACAGGGGGAAAAAAAAACCCAAAAGACACCCCATGTTTTGGTTTCTTTCTCCCCAACTCCCACCCCTCCTTGCCCTTGTCAGGCCATTAATCCTCGGAGCAAGCACCAGCTCGGGTTTTTCCCCAGGAACCCCTCAGCTGCTGCAGGGAGACAGCTGCACCCTCTGGAACTCATTTCAGCTGTCGGGGAGATTTAACTCCCCAGCCCAGCAGCTCCAGCATTGCTGCTAATTTTTAACACGTCCAGTTGGAGGATGTCAGAAGAGGCTGATATACGAGCGAATCTTGAGAGTGCTGCAGGGCAGCTGCTACCGGGCATCTGGTGGGATGAAGAGATCCATGTAAAAAGTCCTGCTGCTGCTCTGCAGCTTTCCTGGCCCCCCACACCCCCCGAGGCTGTAGTTTTTGCCCCATTCTGCTGGTGGTGGAGAGCGGGTGAGTGCTCAGAAGGGTGGTGGCAAGTGGGTGCTGGCATCTTTTGTGGGATGGTGGGTTCGGCTGGGCAGGTTGGTGGTCGTAGAATCGTGGAATCCCAGACTGGTTTGGGTGGGAAAGGAGCTTTCAAAATCATCTTATCCAGCCCCCCTGCAGGGACAGGGACATCTGCAGCTAGAGCAGGGTGCTCAGAGACACCTCCAACCTCCCCTGGGATGGTTCCAGGGATGGGGCAGCGACCACCTCTCTGGGCAGCCTGGGCCAGGGGCTCACCACCCTCAGCGTCCAGAATTCCAGCCTTACATCTAGTCTCAATCTCCCTCTTTGAGTTCCAAACCATCCCCCCTTGTCCTGTCCCAACAGG